TAGGCTCTGCATAGGAGAGATGACGTGTTTTTTTTCTTTGAGTTTGGGTTACCCTAATCCTTTCTTCCTTTGTGTGTATAGGCAGTTGGGATTTTCTTCATGGCTACACACTGTGTCATAAGCATTCAGACTATTTTTAGAACAGCCAAGGGTGCTAGGTGTTGTTCTCAGGATATGGCAATGGTGTTTGCTGGCATTTCTAGCTGGAGGAAAGGCATAGTAGATCTTGTATTCTGGGGATGACCCAAGGGGTGGACAGGCCTGTGTGTTTGGTGACACTGGTGACAGAGGTGACTTGAGAGTTGGTGCTTCATCTCTGCTTGTGGGTGTGACTGAGTCTAGTTCTCGGTGACTCAGACTTCTCCAGCGTTTTCATACCCCTGGTTTCCTGGACCTCTCTGAGGCCTCTGTTCCCCACCATCTTTTGTTGTCATCTGCTCTGGTTCTGGGCTGGGGTTGGGGAAGTGGGTTGGTAGGCTATCCCTATATGCTCTCCTAATGAGTTGGTGTCTGAGGCAGGAGTGGAGGAAGCACAGACAGCGAGGATGACGAGGAGGATGAGGAAGAAGAGGATGAGGATGAGGGGGCTGGCCAGGCCATCTCTGGAAGGACCAGCCCTTCCTCCTTCCCCAGCCCCAGCCCTCAGCCTTCTGGTACGTGTTTGGTGGCTTGTGCTCAGGTGTACATGGAGTGTCTGCCTGCTTTAAGCTCACCTTCTATCCATGTTCTCTTACCTCTGCCAACAGGCCCAAGTTGGACAGCCACCTTTGACCCAGTGCCTATGGATGCCCCAACAGGACCCTCAGTTTCCAAGGAGGCAGACATGTCCTCCACCCAGATCCTGACCAGCCCTCCAGCCCACGATGCCCCACAGCTCAGGTGTGGATGAGCAGGGCAGGGAGGCGGGTGCAGGTCTCATCTGGGGGGTACTCCCACCTCCTCGTCCTCTCTTAGGCTTGGGTGTGACCACAGCCAAACCTTCAAGCTCCTCTCTTACCTTCTAGGTCTCAGGACCCCACACCCCCCTCAGCACCTCAGGAAGTCACAGATAGCAGCAAAGTAGCAGAGCCCTTGGGTGAGCCAACCATACTTTTCCCATAAGGGCACTGGGACAGCAGCAAGGCCATGCCTCAGCTTGCTGGACAGTGACAGCTGAGACGTGGCCCATCTCTCCTTCCACAGCCCCCTGCCAGGCCTTGGTTAGTGTTGCGGATGTCCAGGCCACTCTGCACGGGATGCGCTCTGCCCCTAGCTCCTTGGACAGGTGACCATTGGTGTCCCATCTGAGCTGTTTGCTGGAGGTGGGGTAGGGGAAGCCCAGACTCCCCGCTGAGCGGATGCTGGGCTCTTGTCCCTAGTTGTCCTCAGCACCAAGCTCTACCTTGAGCTACTATGCCCCTGTGTCCATTCCTTTTAATAATTAAATGTTTTAGACAACGACACATAGGGCTCTTGTGACCCCAGAGGTGAGATCGGCTTCCAGGAGGATCAGGGACCACAAGAAGCAGGAATGTGCATGGCACCACAAGCATTTCCTGAAGTGGGGATGGCCACTGAGAGCTGCCAGATAGAAAGTGGGGGAGGCCTGGCTCTCCCCCGGCAGCTCTGCAGCCCCATCTTGCTCTGCCATCTGTATGCTCATAGGCTTTCCTGTTCTGAAGTCTCTGCTCTCCAGCTCTGTCCTCCCCTGAGGTCCCTTCTGGAGAGACGGGTGTCTTCAGGCAGGCAGAGCCCTGGGAGCATCTAACAGTAGTCAAACTTGTCTTACCCACAGTGCAACCAGAGACCCCTCTACCTCTGTCCCAGCCTTCGAGGCCCACCAGTCCCCCCAGACCGTGGAGGGGGAAAAGAGCCCAGAACCTTTGGGGCTTCCCCAAAGCCAGAGGTGAGTTAGCCTCTCTGGGAGGTGTTGGGTGGATGGGGCAAGACTAGAGGGGCAAGAAGTAACCTCCAGCTCTTCTTTCTGTCCTGACAGTGCCCAGGCCCTCGAGATGCCCAATGGCTCTACCCCAGGAGGGCCTGTTTCATCGGGTTCCCAGTGAGTGTGCCTATAGCCTGGGGTGGTTGGGCAAGATGGGGGTCACTGGACCCTCACAAGTGTCTCCCTCTGTTTCCAGGTAGCTGCCTAGTGGCAGCGGTGGCCAAATCCTCTGTCCTTCCCATGGAATCCCCCAGTGGGGCAGGATGGGTCCTTTGGTGGCCCTCTACCCCAGTATACCATATCCTACATTCTCTCCTCTGGACTCCAAAGGAGGCTGGTGCCAGGGAGATGCCCTCACCCACCCCCATTTGCACTGAGAAGAGAAACTATGGAGCTTTGTCTCCTAGAATAAAGATAGTCACATAGAGAGAAAGGGGAGAGAGAGAGAGAGAGAAACGTATATTATATATTATATATATATATATATATTGAAGGAGGAGTAAGAAAGGAAGCCAGGACAATAACCGGGTCAGCGGTTCTGAAGCACAACCTCCCCGTCTGTCCCAGCAAGGGACTGGCGCTGGGGTTTGAGGCCGCTGACCTGTGCTCTGGTGCAGATGCTTACACCCAGCCTTTCACTCAGGACCACCTTGGGGTGTAACAGAGGGCATTAGGCCCATATGGCCATGCATTTGTTCAGACCTTGCACTTCGACCAGGCATCTGGCCCCTGGCCCCAGGGAGCAGGGCTTCCCTGGCAACATCCCCAGAGGCCCAGAACCGGGGATTCTGGGTGCCCAATGCCCTGAGGGTCCCAGCACTGCTGCCAAGTGGCCTTGTCCCAGCTCCTTCCCCCAGGCTGGCGTGAGTGTGCAAGTATGTGTGCAGAGCTTGTGTTTCATACTGCAAATATAAATAAAGGAAGACAGCTGAAGATTTCTGGTGTCAGACCTTGAGTTCTGGGACTCAGGGTTGGGTTAATCTGCTCCACATGGCCTAGAGAGAACTACATTCTCTTGGGACTCCACTGGTGAGTGAGTGAGTGTGTGTGTGTGTGTGTGTGTGTGTGTGTGTGTGTGTGCGTGTGTGTGTGTGTGTGTGTGTAGTGGGGAATGCTTATGCTTACCAGGCAGAACATCAGGTCTTGTTGAGTTAGCACTTTGGGATCCTCATCCTGATGAGTACCCCCTTGGCCCAGTTTTGCAGTGCAGATCAGGGTAGGAGCTGTGCTGAGTCAGCCGACAGCCCCTTCCTCTGCCCTCCAGCTGAGACCTGCTGGGAAGAACAAGGGCCCTGGACCTTGGAGCTGGCTTCTAGCCGTTAAGGGCATAGGAAGCGCTGGGCATGGTGGTGCACACCTTTAGTCCCAGCACTCAGGAGGCAGAGGCAGGCGACCTACATGAGTTGTAGCCTAGTCTACAAAGCGAGTTCCGGACAGACAGGGCTACACAGAGAAACCCTGTCTTACAAAACCAAAAATAAAACCAAAACAAAACAAAACGGTGGGATAGGAGGCAGGGAGCTGCCTTGAGAGTAGGCATACAATGAAGTATGCCTGTTAAGGAACCTAGTAGTGAGCTGGGCACTTGGCACCCAGTAGGCACCTGTGCTCTACAGGGATGCTGCAGAACAGTGAGTGTGCAGTGGAGTAACCATCCTAGGAGATGAAGAACAGTGAGTGTGCAGTGGAGTAACCACCCTAGGAGATGAAGAACAGTGAGTGTGCAGTGGAGTAATCACCCTAGGAGATGAAGAACAGTGAGTGTGCAGTGGAGTAACCATCCTAGGAGATGAAGAACAGTGAGTGTGCAGTGGATTAATCATCCTAGGAGATGAAGAACAGTGAGTGTGCAGTGGAGTAATCACCCTAGGAGATGAAGAACAGTGAGTGTGCAGTGGAGTAATCACCCTAGGAGATGAAGAACAGTGAGTGTGCAGTGGAGTAATCACCCTAGGAGATGAAGAACAGTGAGTGTGCAGTGGAGTAACCATCCTAGGAGATGAAGAACAGTGAGTGTGCAGTGGAGTAATCACCCTAGGAGATGAAGAACAGTGAGTGTGCAGTGGAGTAATCATCCTAGGAGATGAAGAACAGTGAGTGTGCAGTGGAGTAACCATCCTAGGAGATGAAGAACAGTGAGTGTGCAGTGGAGTAATCACCCTAGGAGATGAAGAACAGTGAGTGTGCAGTGGAGTAATCATCCTAGGAGATGAAGAACAGTGAGTGTGCAGTGGAGTAATCACCCTAGGAGATGAAGAACAGTGAGTGTACAGTGGAGTAACCATCCTAGGAGATGAAGAACAGTGAGTGTGCAGTGGAGTAACCACCCTAGGAGATGAAGAACAGTGAGTGTGCAGTGGAGTAATCATCCTAGGAGATGAAGAACAGTGAGTGTGCAGTGGAGTAATCACCCTAGGAGATGAAGAACAGTGAGTGTGCAGTGGAGTAATCACCCTAGGAGATGAACAGTGAGTGTACAGTGGAGTAACCATCCTAGGAGATGAAGAACAGTGAGTGTGCAGTGGAGTAATCACCCTAGGAGATGAAGAACAGTGAGTGTACAGTGGAGTAACCATCCTAGGAGATGAAGAACAGTGAGTGTGCAGTGGAGTAACCACCCTAGGAGATGAAGAACAGTGAGTGTGCAGTGGAGTAATCACCCTAGGAGATGAAGTTGGGTGGTATCAAGCACAAGGCAGGACTTCTCTCTGGAGTCTTGGCTGCCTCCTGTTCTTCAGGGTCGGTTGTAGGCTAGGTACCCCTCTGTGGAACTCTGCATTGTCCCTTCTCATTGGCTGGGCACAAGACAATGGGAGGTCCACTTGGGGGCCTCACCTATGCTGGCCTATAAGAGGAGGAGGTGGCTAGGTTTCTAGGTGCTGGGGGAGAGGCTGTGAAGGGTGGAGGGACCCTTGAGTCCTGATGGGCACTTTATCAGCAAGTGCCAGACAAGAGCAGGCCTTGGGTGAGCCCTGTTATCAGTCCCAGAGTCCATAGGACACTTGAATTAATGTGTAACCTTACAGGGCTTCCCCTCTGCCCTCTGAAGCCACTGGTTCCTAAATAGACACCACTCAACATGGATACTAGAAAAGAAGGGCTGCCCCTGAAGACACTCTTCTCAGACCAAGTGAGAACCTGTAAGGTGGGGGTGGGTTCCAGCCTGGGAACGTGGGCAACCCTAGGGCCTGTCATTCTCTGTGTGGTGAGTTGATTGGGGTCCCCTGTCCCCCAGGAGTCTGGGTTCTAAGGTACTGTGGTTTTGTCCTTGCAGGAGACATGAGTGACAAAAAAATACCAAAGTGACTAAAGATTGTGGTCCCTAAAGTCCAGCCTGGACACACCTTGGGTCCTGGCATGAGGGTGGTATGAGGGACAGGTGTTAAAATAGGCCTCACTGTAGATCCTAGACTGGTCTTGAGCCCAGTGTCCTCCTGTCTCCATCTCTTAAGTACTGGAATGACAGACATTTCCCACCATCCTTGCTGTGACCCCTACCTGAGGACTGGGCTGAGTGTGGGAGCCTGAGCAGCTTCCCTCTCCTGAAGCACCCACAGGTCCGCAGGTGGCTGGCCCCCTTCATCCTTACCTGCTCAGTCTACTTCCTCCTCTGGATTCCTGAGGACCAGCCTTCCTGGGTCAGTGCCCTGGTCAAGTGCCTGCCCATCCTCTGCCTGGTTGTGTTCCTGTGGGCTGTGGCCCCTGGTGGAAGCTACTCCTGGCTCCTCCAGGGAGCTCTTGTGTGTTCTGCTGTGGGAGATGCCTGCCTCATCTGGCCTGAAGCTTTCCTTTATGGTGAGCAGGACCCTGTGACATTACATCTAGGGCTGGTGGAGTGGAGTCAGTGCTGGGGGACAAGGTGCTTTGGGTTACAAGGAGCTGCTTCCCCTAGAATCCACTGGGCTGAAGTAGGCTATGATCCCGAGACACTAGGGGGCAGTGCTGAGTGGCCAGCAGCTCACAGTCCATCCAGGGGCTCGGGGTCGGGCTAGTTGATTGGAAGGGCTAGTGTGGGAAAAGTCAAGAGCAGCATGGCTGAGGGGGTGTGGGCGGCAGGGTGCTGTTCCTAGGACATCCCTAGTCCAGGCTGGTCTGAATGGCCGGAGACGCTGGGTCCTCCTGCCTGAGCTTGCTTTCTCAAGTGCCAGCTTTACGGGAATATACAGAAATTTCCCTACCACACTTGGTATTGAGGCGTCTTCTTCAAGGATGTGTGTGCATGTGGGGAGAGTGGCCATCCTGGGCATGAGAACAGTGTGTGGACAGGACCTGGGGTAATAGCATGTGAGTTACTCTGCCCAAATGGACCAGTCTGGCTGGAGTAGAGTGGTTGCTAAAACAAGGGTGTAGGGCTTCCCAAAACACAATTTGGAGTTGATGGACACTTGGACAGAGCAAGCACATGACAGCATGAATTTGAAGGCCATTCCCATTGCCCTGGGAGCTGATAGAACACCCAAGGACGGAAAGCAAGTGGAAACCCACCAGGAAAAGGGGTGCTATAGTCTCAGTAGAATATGATAGTGCCATGGCCATGGGGCGGGTGGAGCTGGTACTTTGGGGACATTGTTCCTTTAGGTCTGGTGGTGGCCGAGACAACAGTGAGAAGCAGGAGGCCAACTCCCGCCTCACTGGGCACCCACCCCTACCTCACTGGGTGCTCATACCTCTCTCCCTCAGGCATGGCTGCCTTCTCTGCTGCCCATTTATTCTACCTCTGGGCTTTTGGCCTGTCCCCCCTGCAGCCCGGATTGCTGCTGTACATCATCCTGGCCTCGCTCGTATACTACAGCTCCATCCTGCCATACCTTGAGCTGGACATGGTCCTTCCCGTGTTGGCCTATGGCCTGATCCTGAGCTCCATGCTGTGGCGCAGCCTTGTCTGGGGTGGGAGTGCTGGCTGGGGCGGTGTGCTCTTCACAATCTCCGATGGTGTGCTGGCCTGGAACACTTTCGTCAACTCCTTACCTTTTGCCCGCCTAATGACCATGAGCACCTACTATGCAGCCCAGCTCCTTATCACCCTGTCAGCCTTCAGGAACCCAGGGCTCAAAACGCACTAATGCAGGACCCAGACAGCCCGGTGGCCCCTCTCCCATAAGGACCTTGGCTTTTCACATTGACCCAGCCCGGCAAGTGGATGCTTCCGGTCATGTGCCTGCAGATACTTGACCATCTCGAAACATCTGCATACTGTTGGCAGAATTTCAAATCTACCACTGAGATCAAGCTGCCTTCCCTGGCTTCTGATGGTGGATTCCAGGCCCTTCCAACCCAATCTACATCTTCCCCTCCCCATGCCTGTTTCCTTTTCCCAGTCAGCCTTCCCTGTCCAGCTGCCCCTCCACACTGCCTCAAATACGATCCTAGCTGCTGGAGTAAAACGAGTGTTGGAACATCAGTGTCGCCATTATTTGGGAGGAATGTGTAGGGATGACTGTTCATTACAGCAAGCATGGCTGCTTTTTCCTTTTGAAGATTATTTGGGTGTGGGTGGGTACACACGTGTGTGCAGATGTGCATATCTGAATGCTCCCACTGAAGTCAGAAGAGGACGACTGGTGTCATCTCACTGCCCACTTGTTTGAGGCAGGACCTCTCTTCCCGAACTTGCGGCTTGCGGTTTTTTAGCTAGGCCATAAGCCAACAAACCCTGGTAATCCTGTCTGCCCTTAGAGCTGGGGTTGTAGACGTGTGTTTAGGGGTTTGAACTCCGACCCCTTTGATTGTACGGCAAGTCCTCGTTCAGTGTGTGTGTGTACACGCACAGACACATATGTACACATATACATTGAATTGCGCATGCTGGTGTCCGTGTGTTAGGTATGTACACAGGAGTGACCTGTGGAGGCCAGAGGTGTCAGGCCCCCTGGATCTGCATTACAGGCATTACAGGCAGTTGTGAGCTGCCTGATGAGGGGTCTGGGACCTTTGCAAGAGAAGTATGCATTCTTTTTCTTGTTTTTTAATGATTCATTTTTAAAATTTATTACCAACCACAGTTTCCCCTCCCTCCTCTCCTCCTGTTTCCTCCCCCCATCTCCTTCTTACCCCCCACCCCATCCACTCTTCAGAAAGGGTAAGTCAACAAAGCATGGCCTTGATGCGGGGGGGGGGGGGGGGGGGGGGGGGAGAGCTTAGTCCTGCCTCAACTTGAGAAGTATGCATTCTTAGTCATCTCCATCCCCCAAACGTTTTCTTTCTTTCTCTTTTCTCTTTTTCTTTTCTTTTCTCACTTTGTAACCCAGGCTGGCCTTGGACTCAAAAATCAACGCATAACAAGCACTCTGGACTGCTGAGTTATTTGATGCTCTGGCCCTTAAACATGTCTTTTCAGACAAGATTTTATCATGTAACCCTAACCTGGTCTCAAATTCACTATCCTGCCTCAGTACCTGCCTCAGCAAATGTCTTGATTAATCCCCGTGATTCAGGCCTGGTGCCTGATCACATCCTTTCCAGCTAGAAAAGTTTTATTACTATTTGTATGTATATACTGGGGTTATAGGTTGGGGGAGTGTGAGTGTGGGTGTGTGTGTTGGCCAGAGGTCAACCTCCAGTGACATTTTTTATAACCCACATGAACTATCAGGCATGGAAGCATGTACATGTATTTATAGTCCCACTGATGGAGATAGGCTGGGTGGTCAATGAGCCCAAGGGATCCTCCTGTCTCCACCAGTGGGATTGTAAACCCAGGTCCTCATGCTTATATAGCAAGCACTCTACCAACCTGTCTGTTTACCTGCTCCACCCTGTAAGGATTTTGTCCTTAATTACGTCATCAGCCTGGGACGGCGGCGTCCCAGCCTAAAAAGCGGGTGGGCCCTCTGTGCGTCCTTCTCTTTCCTTTCCGCTCCTTCCGTCTGTCCTCTCCCTCTCTTTTTCTCTCTCTTTCTGCCCCCCCCCCCCCATAAAGCTCTAAAAAGGTAACCATGGCCTGTGATTCTTCAGACCAGCAATCTCCTCTGCCGGCATGGCCACTGCGGGCAGCGGCCAGCCAGGAGCAGCGCTGTTTAACCAACACCCCCCCACACACCCCTTTTGACTCAGTGTCTGGTAGCCCAGGCAGTCTTTGAACTCATTGTGTAGCTGAAGATGGCCTTGAACTCTGGTGCTCCTGCCTCCACCTCTTAGGTGCTAGAATGACTTGTGTGTACGTTTGCGCAATGTTGGGATGGCATCCAGGGCTTTGTGCATGCTAGGCGAGCACTCCACAAGTGAGCTGCATCCTCTGCAAGACAGCTTTTTTTGTTTTGTTTTTTTGTTTTTTGAGACAGGGTTTCTCTGTGTATTTTTGGTGCCTGTCCCGGAACTCACTGTAGACCAGGCTGGCCTCGAACTCACAGAGATCCGCCTGGCCCTGCCTCCTGAGTGCTGGGATTAAAGGCGTGCGCCACCACCGCCCGGCTAGCAAGACAGCTTTTTAGGGAACATAACCCACTGTAGTCACAGTGTCAGAGAAGTGGCGATAGAAGGACCTCGGGGAGGACAGGTCGCAATAGATGGGTGTAGAGTAGGAAGTAAGCGCTTAGGGATGGCCCTCATCAGCAGTGTGACCTTGGCAAGCCACCTCCCATATCTGGGCCAACTGTTCTGTGTCAGAATGCGTGAGGTTCAACACCTGACTCCACTGCTTCGTTTTTACTGTGCCTTTAGTGATCGTGATAGCAGAAGCATGACTTCTGCGTCCACGACACCCCTTCGGGACCCATTACAAAGACAACGACACAAAAGCTGCTATGTGGGATGAATGTTTGTGGTACAGCCCTTGAGAGGCTGAAGCAAGGGGGCCAGCCGTTGGACGCCAGCCTGGCTTTCATAATGAGTTCCAGGGCAGCCTGGGATGCTTTGTTAGACCCTCTTTCAAAAAACTGAAGTTGGGCTGGGGTGTAGCTCAGTAGAGTGCAGTCTTCAGCACTGTGCATAAACTTGGCATGATAGTGCGAACATGACCCTAACACTTGGGAGGCGGAGACGGGGGCATCAGAAGCTCAGCTCATTGACTCCGTAGCGTGTTTAGGGCTGCACAGCATATTTGATCTCAAGTGGAATGGAAGGAGAACTGAGTGAGTGTGTTCTTCCCTCCCACTATGTGGAGCTCGGCTTATTAGGGTTGGTAGTAAGTGCTTTATTTCACCTTTTTGTGAGTATGTATGTGCATGCATGTGCGTATGTGTTCACATGTCTAGATGTGAGTGCGTGTGTATGCTGCATGCTTGAGGCCTGTGAGGGGCTCTGCAAACACTATGGCCGGCAGAATAATGATCCACATGAAACAAGGAGGAAATCCGGTTCAGCTCAGTTGCTGGTGTTGGTTCAGACTTCTAGGCCCTGACCCCAGGCAGTTTATTTCAGGTATTATTTAAGTACAGTACAATTTGAAAAAAAAAAGTTCCTGGTGTAACACAAACCCCTGTGCGCAAGGAGGCATAATTACCTTGAAACTCAAAGTACATGTCGTTTCTTCCATGAAGATGGATTCTAGAGATAGGCTAACATGTATTAAAGGTCTACGGGAGGATCTGATATGGTCTAGGTCATGCAGATAGTGTAGAGGTCATCTGGGCTATTAGTGACCTCTGATCCTGGCTGTGGGAGCTTGGGGGGGCCCCTGGCCATATAGATAACACACATGTGCCACCTAGACTATTAGCTGCCTCCAGTCATGCTTGAGGGAGTTTGATATGGTCTGGCCCTACAGATAGACCAAGGATCACCTAAGCTATTAGCCACCTCTGTTCCCAGCCTTCTGGGCAGAAAACAGGTTATACATCTTTTCCTTGAAAAGACAACCGTGCATGTTTTTTGTTTTTTTGTTTGTTTTGTTTTGTCTTTCAAATACTAATTTTTTTTTAATTTTTTTTTTTTTGGTTTTTCGAGACAAGGTTTCTCTGTGTAGCTTTGCGCGTTTTCCTGGGACTCACTTGGTAGCCCAGGCTGGCCTCGAACTCACAGAGATCCGCCTGGCTCTGCCTCCTGAGTGCTGGGATTAAAGGCGTGCGCCACCACCGCCCGGCTCAAATACTAATTTTATTTGCATTGGTGTGCATGTGTGTCCATATGAGAGCATTGGATTCCCAGGAATTAGAGTTACAGACCGTTGTGAGCTGCCATGTGGGTGCTGGGGATTGAACCTGGGTCCTCTAGCGGAACAGTCAGTGCTCCTAACCACTGAGCCATCTCTCCAGCCCCCAGCCCTGCATGTTTAACATTCCTGGTTTCCCTGGTGCTGTCTATGAGTTCAAAGACCTTTGTGCTCCCACCAGAGGCCCAAGGTCCTAGGCACCAAGTGTCTTTTTCAATCATTGTCAGCCTCATTTATTGAGGCGGGATCTCTTGCTGAACTCCAGTTGGCTGTTCTGACTCCTCTGGCTAGTCAGCTTGATCCAGATGCAACATGTCTCGTCTGCTTCTGGCCTGTTGGGATTACAGTCAAGCTGCCATAACCACCAGAATCCACCTTTTCTGTGGATTCTGAGGATCTGGACTCTGGCTCTTGTACATATGTTGCAAGTGCTTTACCTCTCCACCTGTTTTGTATCTAAGACTGGACCTCACTCTCTCGTCTAGGCTGATCTCAGATTCACTGCGTAGTCCATGTAGGTCAAGCTGGCAGCAGGTCTGTGCCTCAGCTTCCTAAGTGCTAGGGTTACAGGTAAGAGCTTGTAACCAGTTAAAAACTGAAATTCTATAACCATTAAACAGTATCCCATTCTTCTTTCCTACCTCTGTAAGTTCCACTATTCTAGGTACTTTTTTTAAAATACATTTTTCGCAAAGTAAGATTTTTTTTTTGTCTTTTATGTATTATTTGACAATTTCATACATGTGCATTCTCTATCCCTACCTCATCCACCCCGGACGTCTGCAGTGCCAGCAGAAGTCAGAAGAGGGCATCCGATTCCCCAGAACTGGAGTTAAGGCATGTGTGGGCCACTGTGTGGTTGCAATGACCAGGACCCAGGTCTCCTGCAAGAGCAGTGAGAGCTCTTTAACCACTGAGCCATCTCTTAAGCTCATCCCCCATCTCTCATTGAACGTAGAACTCATGGTTGAGACTGGGTGGTCAGCAAGCCCCAGAATTCCGTCTCTACCACCCCAGAGCTGGGGTTACAGATGTGTGTGTACTCCTGTGTGCACCACCTGCTGTTAGTGGGTGCTGGAGATGGGATTCGGGTCTTCATGCTTGCCCAGCAGGTAATTTACCGTTGACCCTCTCCGGCCTGCTAGTTCAATTTTAATTCCTTGGGGAGCTGTTATATGATTCCCCCAGCAGCCGCACCACTTAATGTTTCTACCAGTGTGCCGGTTTCCCAAAGCCTCACTAACTTACCTGCACGTTTTGTTTTTCCCCACGTTCCTGTGTGTGTGCGCGCGCGCGCGTGTGTGTGTGTG